CACTATCCAAATTCATGGAATGCGCGGTAGAATCTTCCCAATCTATGTCGGCCAACTCGTACAACATTCCACTCGCTCGGCACTCCTTCTTCGTCGAGAATCCGTCGCTCTGTACTGCATCTACGACAAACAAACCGTCCAGCCTCATAAAGACTCCACGGGAACCTGCTCCAAGCTCTTTTATGTCTTTCCCGGATGCCCCCCACATAGCCAGTGTTGACTTTCCGGGACCTGATGGCGGACAAATATTTTCTGCCCCGGAAGGGGCGATACATCTACGCGGCACCTTAAGACGTACGAGTTCATCCGTCCAAATGCGCTCTCCGCCCCACCAGAGGCCCTGGAAGCGCATTTGCGTTAGCGGCTGCGAGTTCGTACCGGGAGGAACGGCCATTTTCCCAAGAATCCGTGTAGAAATGCGTTGCGTCTCCGATGAAGACATGTCGGGGTTAGCCCCAGACACATTGGGATAGGATGTACCATTGGTATGAGGCTTGGGTCCCGAAGACGAGGATGTTCCGCTAGATATTGAAAGACTTGTTTGTGCATTATGCTGTCCTGCTGCTTCAATAGCCTCTGATAAAGACATTGCAAGTGATGGTGCGGATTTCGGTCGTGGAGGAGTTGGAGCTGGGAACAAATCTCGACTTAGCTGGTATTCGAAAGCCCATTCATCGGTGAGGCACCAGAAACCAGAGAGAGTGGATCCTATCTGCACAGCCATCGCGTAGGGGGAGACTGCTTCGTCGAAAAGTGCACCACCTTCTTTAGGGCACGGATTGAATTTTGACATTGATTCACGATTAAAATTGAGACGTTCGGTTGGGAATGCTTTGAGCGCAGCAATGAGGTCATCTGAGGGGACATGAGCCTGATAGGGTAAGACTTGATTGTCGGAAACGAGGTATGTGCAATTAACAGCAAGTAACTGCATTTTATAATTAGTGGATTGAGTAACACTCCAGGGTACGTCTGACGCCTTCTCGTTATCCGATGACATTGGCGTTTCCTCCAATGTCTCGCGTGGAACAGGTCTGGGTTTTAGTTTGACTTCGTCTACAAGGCCAGGCCAGAAGTAAATGGCAGTGTCGTTTGGGCCCTTGATTGGATGAGTCAGAGCGCACCACAAGAGTTCTCCTGGCCTGAACCATCGTCTGAGCTTCATAGATGTTTTGGAAGACACAGCTCTGAGATCTGAATTACGCTCAACTACCATTGTGGCCTTGTGGTGGATGTTCGGAGCCTTTGTAATCACAGGTATAGGTGCCTTTTGTACGGATGCATAGACTTTGTCATGGGCGCGCTTTGCTGCCACTTCATACACAGACTTCGGTCGTCCAGGTCTGGAGCGCGAGATTGTAGGTGAATTGTGACTGATGCGCATAATACCAGGAGCATGGGATGCAGTGACTTCTTTCTGCGGTATCTTCTGACAGTATTTACACAGGCATTTCGACATGTCCGTCGTGAGATTTTGATAGAGCCAGATAGCATGCGGAATAAATTCGTTGATAGAACGATATCGTCGGTTGACGCTACCTATACAGAAATGAGAGGACATTTAATGGGAATTGATTGAAGGCATAACCATAAAGGTACAAATCGTGTCTTGGATTGTTAGCGGGTCCCTTGTGATGGTCAAAGAAAGCGTATCCTGTTGGCCAGTTCCTCAAAATGTAAGAAGGACCGGCTGATAAGACGAGTCAATAATAGATATTAAGCATGTAGGTGGCAAACTGACCCGGCATACCAGCCGCCGCTGCAATCCCTTCCGCAACTCCTAGTCGCCACTTCAACGCTTGAGGGTGTTCAAGATTCAGAGGTTGCATGTAGTTCACTTCTCCAGAGCTATCGACTATCCGCGTAGTATTGCCTGGCCACCTCGATGGATTGCCGTCCGACCTTTCAAAGTCGAGAAAATGAGGATTCTTCGGCATTTCTACTGTCTTTTCCGATACTCTTCGCGCTGACATTCTGGAAATTAGTTGAATAAAAAACAAATGTCGTGTGAAGCCACCCCCTGGGGAATCGGTCATAACGCACGTGATGGATGCCGCTCGTTATAACAACAACAAATAGAAAGAATTTTACTATTTGAACCGACTTTTTCATTTTCTCTTCCAGCGTTTTGGAATGTAGGACCTCCCGAATGCACCCATGGTGAGTGGTGGGATGTATCCACGAGATGTTTCGTATGTTTCATTATATGATCACAATGATTCCGTTCTTTTTGCATTTGTTTTTACCGTCTTTCTTGTTGATGCCGTGACATTATCTACGTCTTGCACTGCCTTGTGCATGAACGTTAAACTACGCGGCCAGATCGATTGTTCGTCCTCGCAGATCGCCTACCCTTCGCATGTTTCAGGATGGCGTTTTGAAGAGGTCGCATAGATTATCGCTTTGTCTGTACTTTGTTCGAGTATCCGTTTGAACCTGAAAATAAATATCATGACGGCTGCCAACTCAGAGTGACTGATTACGTATATGACGAGTGACGCAACTTGTTCTTTCCGACACATATCAGCACATATCCTCGGCCTGCCGGACAGGTGCTTAGAAACGTACCGCTATATATTACATACCACAGCACGACATTCAACATTTTCAACGATGTCCTATCCCGTGCCAACAGCTGTTCCGCCAGTTGTTTCTCGGACGAGCAGTGGAGGTTTCAAGACCTCCGAGGGAACTCTCTACGTGTCCAAGCCTTATAGATCCAGGTCGTCAAAGAAACTACGCGCGTTAATTACCTTTGCGCCCCGTAAATCCCACTTTGATAGTACGAACGAGCTGTCTGGTGAAAATGAGTTTCGGGTAGGTTTTGCTATTTTCTTTGTGCTCGGTTTGTGCCACGATAACTACAGGGCTTCTTCTCGTTATTTTGGATATCTATCTTCATCTTTACAGTGCGCGTGTATGTCCGTGGCATCGAGTCCAACGGTCGCCCGCTCAACCTTGCTTTCGCGACCATGTTCTCCCAGGATTTGTTAACGCTCGCTATCAGCGATGCGGTCCTAGTCCTGAGCACGAGTCTATGTGTTCCCTTTGCATTCGCTTTGCAGAAGCGGTGGATTAACTATTATTGGACCGGCTTGGTCATACAGCACATCTACCAAACGTCAGTTCTAGTTGCTGCAATCATATGGACGTTCAACCGGTAAGTTAGAGAACGATGATCTATAGTCTGTAACACCAAAATCGCATCACAGGAAGTGGCCTTGGGTTCAGTCAGGCTTCTTGACCCTGCATTCACTAGTGAGACACACATCCACAGCTTACGACAAAAAACGCTGAAGTCAATCTCAGGTCATGATTATGAAGATGCACTCTTACATGACCGTAAATGGTCACCTTCAACGATCAGAAATGCAAAGTGAAGTGGTGCTTGAGAAAATTGGTCAGGCTATCAAGTTGGTTGGTGGCTGGGAAGCAGCCTCGAGGGATGCCATGGGTAACCGTCTGGAAACGGAGCCTACGGCCGACATTGGTGCCCTGGCCGAGATGACGCCTACTCCAGGGACTCCAAATGTTCCCGAAGGCTCTACATCGTCATACACCGACGTAGCTACGGCTAATGCCCTCCGTCGACGCCTTGGCAAAGTGTCTCAGAGTACTGAGGATAATATCTCGGTCACAGACATTCAAGAAAAGCACAATGCACATGCGGGTACTCAAGCCATGCCTCAGGTGTTGGTTGATCATCCAGATGAACAGATCGCCGAATTGGCGAGAGAATACTCTGACTTGCAGAGCGAGTTAACGAGCCCAGGACCATCGTATGTGACATGGCCACATAATATTACTTTAGTCACTATCAATATCGGCATCCTTACAAGGGCCCAGTTGGTATAAGCTCTTCCCTAATTGCCCAATGACATGCTGCCCGCCTCCACCATTACCTTTGTGCCTCCGCCTGCTTCCCGCTCCACCTGTGCCGCCTCCTTGGGGTGCTGATGGCGCAGTCGAGCTTGTGAGGGGTAGTGGGAACGGTGAAGGCAGTTCGTCGACGGAAAGAGAGTGCGGATTGAGAAAAGGACCAGAGGTGATGGGAAGCGAGGATATGAGGCCAGTCTGTGGAGCGGAAGTGTTTGGTCCCAGAGGTGTCGGTGGTGGGGACGTGCCGAGTTTGTTTCGCAATTTGCGGGTAATATGCTGGCGCGACGAGGAGTCCATGGCGGCGTCTGTAAAGACTTAGAATTTGTACATAGATTGTTGTGGAAGGACATCAGCATACCCGTTGTGCCCTCGCCCTCCTTCTCTTCACGAGCGCGTCTTCGCCTCTCTTCAATGCCCTCCAATAGGCGTTCCCTCACACGCTCGCGTCCTTTCCGCCATTCCTCTTCAACACGCTCACGTTCCTCGTCGTACGCATTCTGTGCACACTCGAGTCCGTGCCGTTCTTCCCATTCTGCCTGCGCAAGAAGCGCGCCGCGCTCTAGCGTGAGGGGCAGGAGTCGGAGGTTATAAGATGGAACAGTCTCAGGATGTGTGGCTAACTGCGACATGGTTGCATGAAGAACAGAAATTGTCTCGTGCACATGGCGGCCGCTGCGATGTAATTGTGATGTGTACATGTGAACGCGACAAAAAAGAACTCACTCGTCCCGCCGATCACTCATTTCTTTGCCCAATTTCCCCGCTAGCTCTCTCCGTCTTTTTTCTTTCTTTCCATCATCGATCGTAGCTGCGGAATTTGTGGGTGGTCGTGGTCGTCATCATTTGAAAATGGAATTCCCTACTATGATGCGAGATGTGTATCCTTGAGCTGCTTGCTTGCGTGTGCTGGTGAGTATAGTTATCAGACGCTCCAGACCCCGACACTTGTGTGAAGTGGGAGCTTGAGTGCGACGATTGTATGTGGTGGGACGAGGAGGAGTAGGGGAGAGGAAATAGACCTGGTTGAGGAGGCGCCATGATTGTTGCTGTTGCAGCGAGGCTCGGAGAGAAGGTCGCCGATCTGCGCTGTTCCGATGGCGGATGACGGAAGTATCAACACGGCCCGCCTAGCTCAATCGGATAGAGCGTCAGACTCTTAACTGGCTATAGGCGGTGGTATCTGAAGGCTGCGAGTTCGACCCTCGCGGTGGGCTAGAGTTGTTTTTCTTTTCTCAGGCAGTCGTAAGAGACAATCCGTTGTACCACAGAGTTTATTAATATACACTATACGACCGCACTTTGGAGAACCAGAATGGTCGCTCGTTTTTCAATGCAACGGGATTTACATCCCCAGTCTCCAGACGTACAGAGTTGTATGCCAGAATACTCATCTTGTTCCACCGACCTAGTGGCCGCGAAATGAGATCAAGCGTCATGACGAATGTGTACCGGTTGGCTTCGTTGCCGCTGGAATAATGTACTGATGATGTTACTGGGTGGTCGGTTAGAAGAGGATACCGACCACTCGCGTCGAGGAGATTGGTGATTTCGATTGTAGCATCTCTTAGACTCCAGGTTCCAATGTAGAATCCCTACGGGCGTTGTGTGAAGGGACAGAAGATGTGGTACGCGGTGGCCAGTTACCTTCATTCGAAGCGTAGGCTTCAAAAGGGGTATGACTTGATGTGGGGTGAATTCTTCATTTGCGAGCAAAGAAAGTACTTGGCCATTTGGGTAGAAACGGCTAAGGAATCGTTGGCTGCCCTCTTGAATTTCAAGTTCAGACTACTCACAGATATCGGTGGTAGGTGATCAAATGATTTATCTGTTGGAATGTATGAAGACTTGAGTACGATCCTCTGGGTGTGTAACTTACAGTCACCCAGGAGTTCTCACTAAGGCCAGGACGACTGAAGAGTCAAGGTCAGCAGTCGTATTGGTATGCCATCATTCAACATACATATAATGACACGTCGCAATGTACACACCGTCCATACGAACTCGAGGGTGTTCAATATAGACACGTCTATAGTCATATAGATATCGTTCCAGAACTGAGGTCAATTGCTCCTCATGTGTGACTTGTGGTGGCTTATATGTGGCCCTAACCAGCTCTCTATGTGAATGATGAGCCACGACCTGCCTCGTTCGGGGCGAAGAAGTACCTCCAAATCAGAGAATCCAAAGCAATGACGCGCGCCTTACGGCATACGGAGGCAAAACGCTCGATCGAAGTTGTGTCAAGTTTCCGAAGGAACATGACCAAAAGTTCTTCAGGAAGCTTTTGTAGATGCACAGGCTCCTCCTCAATCTCGGGTACGAACAAGAGATCATCCGGGAAACCAGCAAGTACTTGGGCCAGGACTTGACTCGTAACTCTGACTGCAGAAGCACCTGCACGAGACTTCACAGATAAGGCGGCTTGCGCTTTCGCTGTCAGCTCTTCCACAGAATCGTTGGCAGAAGAAGTAGTGGATTTATGTAGTGTATTCTTCTGAGCTGCTGAAATCGAGGCAAGTGCTTCCTCGCGGTGGTAAATCTGATCCACATGCGGGTCCTGCAGAATGAATGAGCGTGACTTAACTTGTGTCTACCACAGAAATACCATGCGGAATGCCTGACGGTATAGAAAGAGTGCATCATCAAGGTCTCCGCTTTGTTCGCGCTGTACAGCGCGACGATATACATCGACCGCAGAATTGAGCTTTTGTGGAAGTGGGGTAGTAGCCAGATAGATCGACGGAGTGCACTCGTTAGAAGCACCAGCCATGACCTGGGATGAGGAGTCCATAGCCTCCGAGAGCGCTGCTGAGACGTCCAACGCTTTAGCAGCCGTCTTACTAGAACTCTGGTGTGTGCTATCTACACCTCCTGCATCATTTCTAGCAGGAGTGGATGTACCTGAGATAGCTGCAGCATTTCTTCTGCTTCGCAACTCAGTCAACCATTCTTGCCTGAACCTCTCGAGCTCGCTGGGCTCCTCAGGAGATATTGAGGACGTTGATTTCATGGGAAAAGTGAGAGCAATGGAAACAAATCGTTATCTGCTTATTATGTAATTGTAGATGTAAGCGGACCAGTCTTCCCGCTTAGCTGTCTCCACCTCCATATCCGTGGTCAATCATTGGCCTCCTCTTCCGCTTCTCATCTATAATCATGGAAAGTAACAAGGACGAAGCTTCCAAATGTCTTGCTATTGCGAGGAAACACTTCGACGCAGGCAACATACCCTCTGCACGCAAGTTCTGCCAGAAGTCGATATCCCTCTTTGAAACCGCGGAGGCCTCAAGCCTTCTTGCATCTATTAATGTCGCCCCGGAGGCGGGATCTTCAGCATCTACATCCACGTCTACAGCTACCGAGGAACATCCCTCTGCGCCTGGTGCAAAACACAGGCACCCACAAAGTTCGAATGGTGCAAGGAGTAATGGCACAGCGGGAGGCATAGGTGGTGAGAAAAGGGAGTATACGGCAGAACAACATGCGGTTGTGAAAAGGGTGCGGTCGTGTAAGGTCACAGAATATTATGAGATATTGGCTGTGAAAAAGGAATGTGATGAGGCGGACATTAAGAAGGCCTACCGCAAGGTAAGTTCTCGGAACAGTATGTATCGAGGAATTTGTTGACAGGCCTCTAATAGCTGGCTCTTGCTCTTCACCCCGATAAAAATGGAGCGCCTGGCGCTGATGAAGCCTTTAAACGTAAATATGCACTTTTCATTTCAATGGGAAGGTGGAATTGACGTCACTTCAGTGGTCTCGAAAGCATTCCAGGTGCTTTCAGGTGCGTTGACATCGTCTCCGCATCATTTTCGTAACTACTAACCAGAATTCGTCATAGATCCCCAAAAAAGAACTATTTATGATCGCAACGGTGACGACCCAGAGTCTCGATTTAGTGGAATGTCTTCTCGTTCACCTGGTTTCTCGACAAGTCCATTCGGTGGCAGTGGAGGTTTCGATGGCGAAATTAGCCCAGAAGAGCTGTTCAACATGTTCTTTGGCGGTGGTGGGAACGCGTTTGGCACCGGTTTTGGTGGTGGTCCAGGTGAGTTCACTTCAAGCTGCTGGAAATAGTGATTATGTTCAAATGAATGGTCCTTAGTGTTCACAGCATCGTTCGGACCAGGAGGCTTCCGAACGACTCGTATGGGTGGCCAGACGCACCGCCAACCAGGCGCTGCAGACCAGCGGTCACTACTCATTCAGCTCATGCCTCTACTGATTCTATTGGCGTTTTCCTTACTGTCTGCACTTCCCAGCATGTTTGGCACAGCACCCATACCAGATCCCCGTTTCTCTTTCCAGCCTTCGGCAAGATACAACCTCGCGAGACAGACGGGTGAAATTGGGGTTAAATATCACGTCAACAAGGCAGAATTCTTGGGTCATCCGGTTCTTGGCGCAGAACTGGCGCGGGAAGGAAACTCAGGACAATCCTCTGGAAAGACTGGGCAACGTGGACCGGGTGTGACAAAGTTCGAAAAGACGGTTGATCGGGCTTACACTCAAGACCTCTACGTTCAGTGTCAGCGGGGCATGGACCGCAAAGAACGAGCAAAGGAACAGGAAATCGGTCTATTCGGGATTGGGACAGACTGGGAGAAAGTTCGGACGATTGAAAAGGAAGTGATCGAGAGCTGCGAAGAGTTGAAGCGGCTAGGAGTGTTGAGCAGATGAGACGAGTATACTAGACTTATAATACGGTATTTATTTCACTGAGCCGCACGGATATAACATGCATCGCGAGTTTTCAAATGGGTGGTTTAGATTCAAGCAGCTGCAGCGGCCCTCTCCCTCTCCAGCTTGATGTAAAAATTCTCCTGACGCTCCACTGTCGCGTGTAAGTAACTACCAAAATCAGGGCCACATCTAGGACTCACAAGCCTTGAGATGGTAGCCATACCTGATGAAATGTGAATAGTGAATTTGACCAAAAACGCGTAAAGACATACCAGTAAGCATATCCAGCGGCAGTTCCAAGGCCCAGACTGCAGCTGACGTCAATCCAGAAACGCTTTCTGAGCATGCCGGTAATGGGTGCGATGGCCATTGCGAGGGTGGGTCTTGGATGTGTGTGGTTTCGGTCTGAGGGCGATGTCGGACTTGCTCACCAAACCTATCCAAACACGCCCTTACGTAACCCATCTACTCAGCAATCCCTTGTGCCCAGCTCGTGCCATCGTTTCGCCACCATCGCCAGCTCGTTGTCTCTCCCGTATCCTTGCGACACATCTCACCGACTCTCTGCTACTATTATCGCGTTATCAGCCTTTCCACGCTCAATAACAACAATCCAGTCCCACTCGACAGCGTGACACTCGTTCTCATCCATGGAAGACCCCTCAGGTTCAGGAGGATGGCGATTTGCCCAATGTTTCGGTGATAAGGGCGAGGTTGAAGACATTACAGAAGGTTTGTCCTTTCACCGACTTCATAGCCTTTTGGACGGTGTGTTACAACACACTAACCTGCCATCAGCCGACATCATATCTACCGTCGAGTTCGACTCAACGGGCAATTATCTCGCCACCGGTGACAAGGGTGGTCGCGTCGTTCTCTTTGAACGCAATGAATCGGTCAGTATCATTACATTTGTCGCTATTTCCCCTCGCGCGTCTCTCTTTGGGCGTCAAGCTGATTGTGCTTTTGTACATGTGGCTTTCTTTTTGTGGTGTCTCTTGTGATTTCTGCTGTTTTGTGCTCGAATACCTCTTTCTGTCCCGCGATTTTCGTTTTCAAAGAAAAAAGGCTGCGAGTACAAGTTCTACACCGAGTTTCAATCCCATGAACCCGAATTTGATTATCTCAAGTCTCTCGAAATCGAGGAAAAAATCAACAAGATTCGGTGGTGCAAGCGGCAAAACTCGGCGCATTTCCTATTGTCAACAAATGGTGGCGTCTGATGTTATTATCAATTATCATGGCCAGGGTCTGATGTGCTGAGACAGACAAGACAATCAAGCTTTGGAAAGTTTTCGAGAAGTCTCTCAAAATCGTATCCGAATCCAATCACTATGATGGCCAGCGAGCTTTGCCGTCTCCCACCAGCCCCAAACATCTGAGGCTCCCTCGCATGACACAGCAGGAGAACATAATTGCCGCTGTTCCTCGCAAGGTTTACGCCAATGCGCATGCATATCATATACACTCTATTTCCGTCAATTCAGATCAAGAAACATACATATCTGCTGACGATCTTCGAATCAACCTT